GTCTCTTCTCCCAAGTAACAAGTGACAGGACAAGAGGAAACAGCCTCAAGCTGCGCCAGGGGAGGTTTAGGTTGGATATTAGGAAAAACTTCTTCACCGACAGGGTGGTCAAGCATTGGAACAGGCTGCCCAGGGAAGTGGTTGAGTCTCCATCCCTGGAGGTATTTAAAGAACGGATAGATGTGATGCTCGAGGACATGGTATAGATGGACTTGGCAGTGCTAGGTTAACGGTTGGACTCGATGATCTTAGGGGTCTTTTCCAACCATGATGATTCTATGATTCTATGAATGATGAAATGCTGGTGATCTTTAAGCACAGGTCAGAGAGATGCCTGGGAAACATCTCTACTCTCATTCTCTTATCCCTGCTTTTCAGTAGCTGGGACTTTACATTTGCAAGACAGTCAGCTGCAGCCCAAAGGTGAACAATTTGTATCCGACTCCTGCATGCTGCCTTCCCACAAGCTGGCAAGTATTCTTTGCTCCTGGTATTTTAACTGGGTTTCCCGTCTTTCTCACTCTAGAGGAGATGATTGTTCCTCAGAGCACTAACTTGAAAACTTAGTATTAAACCTAATCTTTGCTTCAAAATACTTTTAGCCTTTCCTTCTATCTTGTAATCATTATTTTTTATCTCCAGCTATAGTTTTTCCATTTATTAGGTATGTGATGATCAAAACATCTGGTAGGATGATCTTCAATTTTACCAACTTGGTATAATAAAAAAATTTCTAGTGCAAAGTTCAATTAAATTCCATGGACTTAATCCAGTAGAGTTTGTTCTCACCTTTTTTTCATGTATGTGATTCAAATAGCTTAAAGTGCTTTTATCTGTTTTTATTTTCCTCTTTTCAGGAAGAACACAGTTTAAAGTGATAATTAAAGCACTTTCTCCAAAAGAAGTCACCAGAATTTACACCCCTCGCCCTTTGGATAGAAACGATGGCACATTTCTTATGCGGTATCGGATGTACGGGAGTGTCAGAAAAGGGTTAAAAATTGAGATACTTTATGGTGATCAGCATGTAGCTCAATCTCCTTATATTTTGAAAGGTAAGGGTATTTTTTTTATTTAATGTAATGTATGATGGCAGCTACAGAAATGCGATGGACTAATTTACTGCTAGAGGAAGAGGTGGGAAATCCGAGGTTTGTTTGCCCTTGTTCATGTAGGCTCCTCACAAACATTCTCCTTAGACAGAGAAGCGAGCAGTGACAATCTCTATCCATTGCCAAGTTACAGGACCGAGATCCATAAGCATGTAGATTATGGCCTCCGATGCTAAGGTGATGTGTCTGGACATCTCCTCTTCCCTCTTGCATAAGGAAATGGATCTCTTCAGCTTTGGTAGGGAATAAGAGAGCACTGCTTGCATTTTTACTGTTTTCAAGCAGGTATTCACTTAAACATTGTGTTATTTTTATCTAAAGTAGAAAATACTACCTGCAAAAGCAAGGAGTTTGTGTTGTTCCCAACACTTTATAAATCAAATATCTGTGATTTCTAAAAAGTGTGATCCTTCATAGCAACAAAGACAATATTTCTTTAACCAGACAATATTTAACTTTCTTTCCATTAGCCCAGTTTAATTCAGTGCAGGTCTATACTATGGAAGAACTATTTAAAAGCAGGAAAAACAAGGCAAATTATTCTCTCATTCCAGATCTGCTTCAACGTCCTTCTCTTGATCTCAAACGGACAGCTGTTTAGCAAAGAAAAACATCATATAAAGTTGCTTCTTTGGAGAGTCTTGTTTTGGTTCACCACTACTTCTTCTAATCAGAATTTTGTCATTTTTTTGAAAAGAGAATTTCCTAAATACAAACTTAGAAATGTCTTCAAACTGAAAAGAAACTGTCCTGAGTCCTCACGGTAGTGGTACGCCTTCTTTTTGCTGGTGCACTTTTGCCAGCAGCCATGAAACTATGACACAGGACAGAACCGGTTTTGATTAGAAGTCCATGAAATAAGGGCTTTTTTTCATGCTCTACGAGGCTCTTAATTATACCTAAGCTCTCTGCTTCAAAAGGACAGAAAGAATAGTTGACTACACATAAAAGAAAACACCTTATGCCAGAGGTAAAGACTACTGTATCAGAGTTCTGAATTAGGCTAAAATTGAAACTGTAATACCTGAGCCTTGGTAGTTATGGACAGTTAGAACAATTCTGAGTACCCTGTGCGGTTGGTAGGTAGCACAATAATGGAGCTTCATTTTGCAGATTAGTTTTACCCTGATAACAAAAAAAATCTAGTATTTTGATTTCTGAAGAGAGAAGAATGTTGCTGTTTTCTCAACTGCACTGCTAAACCCCAGAAATGTTATAGGGAGGATGATTTCCCAGGAAAACTGTAGAAAACTTGGAATAAAAAATGTCAAGCCACTGTACTGTCTACATTTATACGCCCATGCATTTGGGGACTTATGATTGATGTAGAATCACAAATATAGACCCTCAGTGCTTTGTTTTCTGCAGGACCAGTTTATCATGAATACTGTGACTGTCCTGAAGAAGACCCTGAGATCTGGCAGAACGTTATGTCTTGTCCATCCCAAGACCCCCAGATTACGAAGGACTTCATTTCTTTTCCCACCATTGACCTTCAGCGAATGCTTAAGGAAATCCCAACAAAGTTCAGTCAAACAAGAGGTGCTATTGTTCATTACACTATTCTCGATAATCACATCTACCGTCGCTCCTTAGGGAAGTATACAGACTTCAAAATGTTCTCCGATGAAATGTTCCTGTCACTGGCAAGAAAGGTATCAGTTTCAATCATTTATGACAGTTAAGTCACATTCTAATATGGCAATACTGCTTTTGTTGTTGTATCTTCAGATTTATCGTTCCTGAAGCAAGATTTGACTTTTGTTTTTTCATCAAGACGACAGAGTATCTTATGGATAATGGGGGGGGGCTGAGCTTGACAGTAATGAAATTGCTAGGAAAGCTGCAGGGGCTAAGGCCCGACTCTGCGAGCCTTTTCATGGCCTCTCTGAGTGTTCCTTTCATACTTGCTTGTGGGGCAGAAACTTGTAATTCATACCTTAAACTCGGCTAAATCTGTTAACTATCTATATCTAGTACGTTTATTGATTCTGCATGACATCAGAGAACTGAGGAATATATGCAAGAGTGACAAACAGCTTCTATCTTTTTGTTATTATCCTTTCTTGGGTATGCATTTAGGTTCGTCTTCCTGATGTGGAGTTTTATCTTAATGTTGGAGATTGGCCAGTTGAGTATCGGAAAGTTAATGATACACCCGGTCCTATACCTGTCATTTCATGGTGTGGCTCTGTGGATTCAAGAGATATCGTCCTTCCAACGTATGATGTAACCCACTCGACTCTTGAAACCCTACGTGGAGTCACAAATGATCTCCTTTCTATTCAAGGAAATACAGGTAAATTAGAGATCATGGATTTAAAAAAAGAATTTGTAAATTCCATCAAAGAAGCAAGTTCCATTCAGATCATGTGTTAAAGTCTTCAGTTCACAAGTGCCTTAGGATGTCTGTTAGTACAAGCAGGTTAGTCTTTACAGATTGTAACCACTTCGAACACTGCTACTAAGCAGGTGTTTAATATGGATTTAGAGCCAAAATTTAAGAAGTCCAGTTTACAATAATGGTGAATTTTAACTTAAAGGTAACCAGAAGATAGCTATTGTGACCTGTCAAAACAAAAGTACATATAATTAAAAGGCCTTTCTCCTCCTTCAGTATGTTCCTTCTAATCAAACAGTAATCCTTTTCCTGACAGTGATGTGGCCCAATGTCCTGTTTACATAAAAATGAATTTGAATCCTGAAAGAAGTAAACTAGTACTATGCTGCAGCCTCTTTCAAATAAGAAAATATTGCCTGTATAAAAAAATACCTCAGAGTGGGATCTTCTGAATTGTTTTTCTAGCTTGGAAGGAAGAGTCAGTTTTACTGACAGGCATCTTCCTCCCCCCCAGGAAATACATGAATACTTAGGGATCAGACAAATGGCATGAACAATACCTAAGGAGCAAAACTTGAGTGAGGAGGTATTTCTTTTTATTTGATTAGTTCACAATTTCTCTTTTCTTGATTAGTTTTTATATTAAATATTTTAATTAAATGATCAGTTTGAAGCACTCTGTGTTTACTGATTTAGTACAGCTGCTTCTCCAGTTAGGAGATGACAAGAGCCCACCTCACTTTAGTAGGTGCTTTAAGGAAATTTCCAGCAGAAGGATGAGGAAGGACATATTTAATGTTTTTAAAAGCAGGCAGTAAGCGGAGATGAAGTCTTTCAGGCTCTTGCTAAGATCTTGAGAACACAGTATAGACATTTTTTTTCCTTTTTAACTCATCGTTAAGTGATTCCTCAAAGACCTAACTAAATTGTTGGGTAACAGAAATGGATTTTACTGAAGAAATTTTGGTTACTGTGGCAGGCTTTATGAATGGAGAATTACTTTAATTATTAGTATTTTACTTACATAATTTGATTATAATCCCTTATGTAGCTTTCAAGATATTTCAAGTTATTTAAATATAAAATTGCTGAGTGAAAAAGCAATTCTCTGATTTTCCTTTTATAAGTAAGTGGCTTGGTTTCTCATCCCAAAATTCAAGCCAGAACTGGAGTTTAAATCCTGTGATTAATAAGTGATTATGGATTCACTACGAGAAATCATGTCTGTTTTACCGTGTCTCTGAGTGTAATGCCACTGTCATAGCAAGTTCCTTATTTGCACTAGACATATCACAAACATTTCATTACTATTTGCTTTTACCTTATCACTCAATGCTCGTAGGCCCGTTCTGGGAAAACAAAACTGAGCGAGCTTTATTTAGAGGTCGAGACAGCCGAGAAGAACGTCTCCATCTTGTCAAGTTATCCAAGGAAAATCCAGAACTACTAGATGCTGGAATAACAGGATATTTCTTCTTCAGAGAAAAAGAAAAAGAGCTGGGAAAGGTTCAGCTGATGGGCTTCTTTGACTTCTTTAAGGTAGCAAGCAAATTACAGTCTTGGATTAATTTTGCTGTCAAGTTCTTAGCAACTGAAAAGACAAGGCTTACTTTTGCTAATTCCATTCAGTAAACAAAACAATTATGCTACACTGGGAACACTGATCCATGTGTGGTAGATAGACCACCTGTAACCAAAGTCACAGTGCGGCACACTTCTAAAGAAAGCCGCTATACTTTTGTCATGGAGTCCCTTAGAGAGAGTTCTTGGAGATTTTTTTTTCTAATAGATTGAGAAATTGGATTTCTCACCATCAAGGTTTCTTTTATTTGAGGTAAATAGGAAAAAAATGGACACAACTTGTGTCCATTGCAAGTACATTACAGGTGTCAGAAAGAGTCCTTGTAGTAACAAGTTAGAAAAATAGATGGGTGTTTTTGTTGCACTTTAACACACAAATTCCACTGCAACAGAGGTATAAAAAGTAAAGGGGACAGAGTCCTGTAAAAAGCAATTATAATATATGGCAATTGACATTCTGTTCCATTAATGTATCAGAATTGTTATTGTTATTGTTCCATTAATGTATCAGAAATGCCGTAACAGCCAAGAGCCTCTGCCAGAGCAGTACATTCATGGTTAATTTTACATTAACATTTCAGATTATTTTGTATAATACTATGTTTCAGATTATTCTACATAATAATATAATTTTAACTCAGAGTAAATTTACTCTTTTGAATTTAAGTGTAGACTAGTTTTATTCCCTTCCCAGCTCTAACCCTTGCTCTATCCCAGGACACTTTAATGGAATACCCATCAGGCAGTTTATGGGACACAAAGGTTCTTGACTGTCCGTCTTGGGTTGAAAACAAATCCTTTCTCCATTATGTTATCCAGAACACCACGAAACTACACCTGCTTAACACTAAAACAGGTTTGAAGATGAGAATTAATAAACACAATTACATCTTGCCTGTGAAAATAATCTTTTATACAGTCAGTGCTCCTATTCCGATTCAAAACATTTCACCTTTTTTTCCTCTATCTTCATACTGTAGTACAAATACCAAGTGAATGTAGATGGGACCGTAGCAGCTTACAGGTTTCCATACCTCTTGCTGGGTGACAGCCTCGTATTGAAGCAAGATTCCCAGTACTACGAACACTTTTATATTGGATTAAAACCTTGGAAACATTATGTTCCAGTTAAGAGAAACTTAGAGGACTTGCTAGAGAAAATAAAATGGGCTAAGGTAAGTTCCATTACTAATTCAAGTTCAAAGTGATAAACAAACATGTAAACAATTTATCTTACTACTCTCCTCTTTTTGTACTTCCACATACATAGTTTGTATGAACTCTATTGAGATCCTGCGATAAATGAAGTACATTTTGTTGTTAGTATAAGATGGAAAGGCCTTAATTCAAGTAACCATCTCTACTCAGGAAAATACTTAATTCATTTTAGGTATGTGCGGAAGTGTTTCATGAGTCAGAGCCTTACTATACTGACTAATGCAGGTAATTTTCAAAGAAACGCCCAGAATCCTAGATACTACTTAATTAATTCTACGGCTTGTTTTAGGTCCTGACTAGAACAGAAGTCATTGCACGTTCTGTTTGAATGTACAAAAAATCGCTGCTCTGTAACATGCTCAGAATGAGAGGCTGGGATTCTGTAACCAAACAAACCGATATAATTGTGTGATTGAAAACACCATTTGTGCTTTAAGTTTAGCTATTAGGTGAAAAAAAACATAGGAAAAGTTTCTGTTCTGAGAGTTCTGTAGTTCTTCATAAAGGATCAGATGAGAATACTAAAAGCTTTGAAATATAGACCTAAAAAACTTGAGAGTAAGTACACGAACTCAAGCAGAGTTATTTTTAAAAGGAAGACATTGAATTGCATTGCATAGGAGAGGACAAGAGCTAAAGCTTTGTCTTCTGTAAAACTGAGTATGTGTGGGAGATGTCAGACCTGATTTTGAAGCAGCTTGGACAAAACAGTAGAGTTTTCAAAATCGTACAATTATCCATGAAAGTTGTTATTGATAGCCCTACGGTACCAGTTGTGGCCATAAAAGCAATCCAGTATTTAAAAAAAATCTGCAATTTAAAGTGTGCCTTTGCAGTCTACCAGTAATTGCACATAAAGTTGCAGATTCGAACAGCCCCTTTAATAAAACTTCTGATGCCAGCCAGGCTGTGAGTAACTCACTGATTGCTCTCTTCTTCATTCGTTTCATCTCAATTTTCCAGGAAAATGATGAAGAAGCAAGAAAAATTGCTAAAGAAGGACAATTAATGGCAAGAGAATTACTTCAGCCTCACAGGCTTTACTGCTACTATTATAAAGTGCTCCAGGTTAGTACAATAGATCACTGTATTACTTTCCCCCAACTGCTACTGCTACCGATGCTACAAATTTCCTATTCAGTCCTTACTTCTATCAATAGCAGACATGGTTCATATTATTCATAGCTCAGTCTGAAGAGCTTTGCTAAAACTTGCTTCATCATTAAAGAGGCAACCTGACATAACAGTTGTTTTACAGAATCAGAGATTTTATTTTTTTTATCCCCATCCCCACAGTCAGACCTGTTTTCAGTGTCACTTGGTATGTGGTTTCTAATAGACGTAGGAGATAATTTGTACACAACTGTCTTCCTTTTTCCCTTCATACTTATCCCCTCATGAGCTACTCCACTGTATTACAAAGCACTGAATACACGGCAAAAAAATTCCGGAAGTATGGCTAGTAGAGTGGTAAGGGGTGAAGCAGGCCAAATAGTCATTGCTTCCCTAGGAGATGCCAGTCTCTAGTGAAAGAAGTTTCTGTTCTCTGAAAGCACTAATTTCTTTTTCCTGTTTTGCTGTGCAGAGTTAGGTCGCCACTGCTTCAGCAGCCACAGGTTGACAAAAAGTTTGGAACTGTTCAGTGTACAAAAATGACAGCATTATCTGCATAAAGTGGTTAGAGGCACAAATAATGACAATATTCAAATTACCATTAATATTAGGACAGGGGAAAACATTAAAGGAGGTTTTCAGAGGCAACGTAGCCTATTTGTACGTGTGTTATAAAGACACCTTGTAAACAGGTTGTAAACAATGACATAAGGAGCCTGGATAAAGGCAAGCTTGTGAGTGGAAGGGAGGAGGAAAATTCTGTTTCATGAATTATACGTTGGTGCTCACAGCATTCTTAAATGTTGTTTACATATTTCAGAAATATGCCAAACGCCAAGCCAGCAAACCTGAAATACGGGATGGAATGGAACTTGTACCTCAGCCTGATGACAGAGACTCAGTATGCAGTTGCCACAGGAAAAAGCCTTTAAGGGAAGATCTATAACTGTACCGGATAGAGAAAATCACCCACTTACAATGCAAGAATTTAAGTAGGAATTAAGCTGTGAAATCTAAGACACTTATGCACTAGCAAACATTCTTAGTTATGTATTCTTCTTGTATTTACATATCCTTTTTCACACTGACTCTGATCTACAACGTTGGTTCCCACAATTTTGCCTCCATGACCACCACCAGGCAGATGCTGAGCCTGTAATGGGGAGCGTCTAGGGGATTTGTTTGATGTACTGCATGATCAGGAAGAAGAGCACAGTGCTGCTCGTGTTCCAGCTGGGACCTAGTTACCAAAGTTTTATGAGGAACCAGTCATCCACAAAAGATCTTCCATGAGTCAGTGCAAGTTATTCTAAAGGAGCATTTGCAACATGCTAAAACAGTGCTATGATTTCTTCACAAAGTTTACCTCAGTGTTAGACTGTTTCTTGTATACAAAACAATTTTCTAACTAGACAAAGAAAATGAATATTTGAGATTTACAGATATCAAATCTGGTGTTGCTTTGAGATTGTTTTGTGGTCTATGAATAGAGAACATGATATAATATTTATCAGTTTCAGAGGAAAATGGAGAGGAGGGGGAGAGATCAGAATATTTTTATAAGCACCATGGCTGTGAATCACCAAAATTAAATGCTGCTTTAAAGCAGATGGTGTAGCTATCAGTCACAGTGCTTTGAGTGCCAAGACAACACTCTGAAGATCTGTTCCCTGCCAATGACCATGACTGTGAACATAAGCACAGATCCACAAAAGGACTTAGGAACTTCAGGTGAGGCCAGGTGAAATACGGGTGTTTTAGTTCAACAATACGTCTACAGTATTCTAGGCTACTTGAGTATTCACACATCTGAAATTTGTTAATAGAGTTTTAGACCACCTAGGTTTCACTTCTGTGTAGAGCTAAGGATGCCACCATCTTTTTCACTTGGGTTCATGAACTACTTTTTCCTGTGCCTAAGTCCCCAGAGGGGTCTTAATCATTTTCTGAATTTAGATCATACCTAACCTTATACTGAGATCAGACAGCAGATCAGACTTCATTGTTTTCGTTCAAGCATATGACAGAAAAATGCATGCTGTGCTTGTAGTAGTCTAGGGGTTAGAGACCATACTAAGCAACTGGGAAGCCAGTTGTCCTCCTTGGTTTGATTCAAAGCCATTTTTCCAGAGAGTGCCTTAGCTCCAGACTGGAGAAGAGGTCTTCAGGTCTTCCACTGAAGTTGTGCAGCCAGGAAGCTAACAATACAAAATTCACAAGGCCAGAAGGAGCTGGTCATACCATTGCAATAAAGTGTGCCTTTGGGTGGGGCGGAGGAAAAATCCTAGTCCTGGATGTGGCTCCCAATACCTCTGTTGATTTTTACGCAAATTTGTCTACTTCAAAATGCATAAACAGTCCTGGGAGGAGACACCAATGCCAATACCAAGACCAATGCCCACAAGCACCCATTTCTGTCCTCTGCATTTTTGTCTTGGCTAACGTAGTCTGCCTGAGCAGCTTCCTACTCGGCTACACTCAGATAATGTCTTTCATGGATACCAAGTTCTCCCTACGCAAAAAGGAATGGAAACGTCTTAGGACTGTGGACTCATCTAATTGCTTAGGTGCCCAAAGTTTAGTGCTCTACACGTTATGCGGGCTTCATTCTTGGTTCTACACTGCGGGTTACTCTCATAAAATACATAAAACAAAATTTCTGCAGTAGAACGGGAAGAAAGACTCGATTCTTCAGTATGCTAAATATGGAAAGAACTTCAGGTTTCTAAAGAGGTTAATGCAACTGTCCGTCAGTCATTTATTACATTATGCCAGTTAAGAAAAACCTGGAACATGTTGCTCCACCCATCATCCTCTTTGTTCTGGTACTAACACTAATATACATAGTGGCTGTATTTTTATTTAGCACGACAATCAGTCCTAGAACTTCAGACTATAAATATATGTTCAGTTTATCTGACATAAAATTTTCTGCATCAAAATTCAGGAACAGGGTTCCATTGCTGAAGCTGACACTTAAAACTAAGTATGTGCTCCTCTTTCCTTCTCTGTGTACAGTCCTTTTTACTATACGATATGATCTTATTTTGTGATATTATCCATTATACCATGTGCATTTTATATTCACCAGTATTTATGGAAGTGGTGTGCTCGGCAAAGGCAATGTGTGCTCAACAAAGTTGAAGCAACAAAGTTTTCCACGTCTCACACATATATTTCAAACCAGAAGTCCAAAAATTATGTGTTTATATTTAAAAAAATGGGAGGGAACAGGGGGAGTCACGATGAATACCTTAGGGTTCTTTGGAAATACTTGCGTAGGAAAACTTGCCTGGCTTGAAACAGAAGTCTTTCAAACTGGAAGAAGAATCAGATAAAATTTAAATGGTCATGAATACAAATAAATGAATATTTCACCCCTTCTTTCTTCGCTTATAAAAAGGGAAAAAAACTATTCTAAATTCTTCTCTGTCAGAAAAAACCTCCTTGCTTTTGTAATAAGCATCCGTTCAAAGCAAAGACTAGTTTGTCACAGAATGCCTTTCAGATGCTTTTATAGCTTAGAGGCAAGAAATATCCTGAAAAATACGAATACATTCATCTTCCTGCCAAAATTAAAAAACAGTAGAGACATGGTAGAACTTTCATTAAAAGTGCTTAGTCATTTGAGAAAATCTGGTTCAATTTATAACTACAGATCTTCCACAGATAAAAGAAGGTAAGGCAAAGCCTCTCTTCTTTCCATGGGTGGTACTATATGCAATTTAAATTGTAATAAAGAGCAATCGTAACAATTGCCCCCCCAGGCCAGAAAAGATATATTTTAGTTTGATAGATAAAAGAAGGTAAGGCAAAGCCTCTCTTCTTTCCATGGGTGGTACCTATATGCAATTTAAATTGTAATAAAGAGCAATCGTAACAATTGCCCCCCCAGGCCAGAAAAGATATATTTTAGTTTGATGACAGGATGATATTCATTGGCCTGGTGTGTTACAGGAATTGCTAAATATTCAGTAAAACCTGTTTGTACAAGTAAAGTGTAATACATGTATTACACAGTATTTTTAAGCGACGCACATACACTAGAGTTTCTATTATTCTGTAGTAATTCTTGAACAGCAACTGAGTAAATCTCAGTACCACAGTACTGAATTTTGCTACAGTAATTTCGGTTTTTAATGCACAACATAGGATTTAATATAGAGAGTAAAATATGTCCTGTTTTCATCAATGGTGGTAATTTTTAACACACTGTACAACTTATCACTGATGACGGAGACTGTTAAGGCCTTTACTTAAGGTTCCTTATTTTCAGATCCCTATAACCTTAACAGTCGTTTCATACAGTGAACACTCCAGAAAATTAGTCCTTTTATGTTGTCATATATATGCCCTAATATATTTGGGCACCCACATTTGGAAATACTCGCCCAACCTCAATTTCATCTTGAAATGAGAACTAGTAAATCATGATCTGTTGAAATAAAGGAGATGATATAAATTCAGTACATTTTTAGACCATATTTTTTGAGATTTACCTCAAGATAACTAATATACTAGTTTCATGACAGTATTGTGCCAGGTCCACCTTGTAGATTCGTAATTAAAAAAAAACTATAATCAAAGCTTGCCTGATGGAATGTTAGATTCAAGCATCCATCCTGGGAAGCATACGCCCGACATTTATTACATTAGAAAGTAAATTATTTAGTTAGGGAGGAGAGCTGACAGGGAAAACATACATCACCTGTTCGAGCACGTTTGAGAAGCTTGCAAAGAAATGATAATAAGGAAAAGAAGCATTACATAAACCTAGGATAGTATCAGCTCCTTTACTACTTCAGTTTTTCAAAAGTGTTCTCTGTAAAGGCAGTGACGAAGTGCAAGATTTTATATAAGTATATTTTGTTTAAGTTCACAGGATTTAACCACTGGAATCTTCTTGCCTGTGAACACTTTTATAGCATTTTAATGAGGCTGTGTGAGTACTAATGCTTGGCTTTTGTTTTGAGTTGTCAATAATGTAAGAAAATCTATACTGTAGAGAGTTATGGCACTAATTTTGTATTTTGCTGTAAGAATAAGGGAAAAACGATTCTTTTGTATGTCTGTGAAGTCATTTGAGACACCTATAGCACGTACCTTAATCGAGTCCCATCATGTGAGTGGTGATAAGCAAGCGGTGTATTATCAAAAGTGTGGCCAGCACGTCAAGGGAGATGTTTCTTCTCTCCTGTTTGGCAGTTGTGAGACTGCAACTGGAGTACTGTATTCAATTTTGGACTCCTCTATACAAGAAATACATTTGACACAGCGGAGCAGATCCAGCCGAGGACCACCAAGGTGATAAAGGGGTTGTGGGGTGCATGAAGTACAAGGAGAAGCTGAGTGAGCAGGGTTAGGTCAGCCTTAAAAAGGGAAGGCAAGGGAAAGATTACCTTGCCGAACTCTAAAGGGAGGGTGTAGAAAAGATGAAGCCCGACTTCTCAGAGGTACACAGCAGAAGGCCTGCAACAACAGACACAAGCTGCAACATGGGAAATTCCAATTAGATAAGGGAAAAAAAATCTTCACACTGATATCCCCAAGGAGATTACGCTTGGCCTACATGACCTCCAGATGTTCATTATTCTATGAACTACACTTTGGTCATACAACAAGCATTTATCTAGTCACACAGCAGGAGGATAAAAACATCCAGCTCTTGAGTGTCTCCAAGAAGCAATGTAGCCTTTCTGTGCTGACACTTTTGACACTATTCATGTTTATGTCTCCCTTGATAATATTGACTAAGTTTTGCAGCTATTTTAACGTTGGCTTACAAGGCTATAAAATTATATATTAATATTACATATTATTACCATATATTATCACAATATATCATAGTCATGCGGTACACAGAGGATTCGACAGAAATAGGATACATTGATTTGGCATTACATGCTTGGACTGATTGGAAGTGCAAGACCTGCTGTTTCAAGAAGCTGAATGTACACTTTACATGTATGAGACAATTACAAAAGATTTTGAGTACAGTTATGAATCATCAAGGTAATTAATTTTAAGTAGTCAATGGGAATATTAATGTACTTTAAAAGTTATACATATACTTAAATGCCAGCATACTCTGCAGGCCACTGGTGAGTGAGCATGACATATTCCCATCCCACTCCCAACACTAAAAAAATCAGTCAGGATCCATCTGTACCACAGATTTGCAATGTAGCATAGAGATACTCAAGACAGCTCAGCAGAGGAGCGTACCTGAAATAGGACAGAGCTTCACATGGTTACCTTCCTGCAACTGAAAACCTGTGGAATACATTCTTCTGAATGGAACCTGTCTAAAAGCCGATTATTCAAGCTATACTTGTGAGACTCTAATTTCCACTATAGCTTATGCGACTCAGACAGGTTGTTTAGCATTAGCAGATGTTGTTGCTTACCTTTGAGTCAACAGTAACCACGCTTCCAGCTACTCTTTATC